GTGTACGTGTTTGACTCAAAAAGTTCAATTTAAGAAATTCATGTATCATGGTCGTGAAGTAGTCACGAAAAATTGCCAAGATTCAGTTCAAGGTTTTGGAAAATGCGGAACGATAATCAATAATTGAAGATAGCTATTTGATTGATCATGGTATTGGCAGTCTAATGGCGTTTACGGCATGTCTGTATGTCTATTCTGTGATTTTATATGATTTTTTGAACATATGCCGTTTTTGGTCGAAAACTCAGAAATCATGACGTCACTAAAACCTCGATATCTCAAAAATTTTCCGACCGATTGTTTTTGAAACTTTGTCACAATAAACTTCAATCAATTCCCTACAGGTACCCAAAATTTGGCGCGCCTGTGGCGCGCCGTTTTTATGCTATGGCCCAGCGAAAAAAGTGGGGGCGTTTAACGCCCCCCCCAGCAACTCGCGGGTTAATATTTAAAATAGCAGCATGTTTTTGCTGTTTACTGTCTTTAATGATCATGGATACTGGAAGTATTTCATGCCGGCACATGATGAGGTAAAAGTCCAACACAGGAGCCTCATCCCAGATATTCTTCTCCCCGTTCTATCCTGTCCCCCTCCGCTGCCCCCCCCCCCCGTCTCGGCGCCCCTCCCCACCTGACCCAGATGCCATGTGGCGGCGGCGGCGGCTGTGCTTTACGGCCACGTCTGTCACGTTAATCGACTCAGCTATCTGTGTTGTGGCAGCTGCAGCGGCACGGACGACTTCCGCCGAAAACGAGCAGCGCCCCGTCACCGGCCGGGGCGGCACGGGTGCGCCGAATGGGACGGCCACCTCTCCTCCGCCGACGGCAGCACCCTTTCGCTGTTTGCCGCGTCGCGCGTCGGAAAACTGTCCGGCCGGCACCGTCCGCGGCCATAAATACCCATCAAAGCAGCCAGGAAAATCCAATAGACGCCGATTCAGGGGACGGGCCCAATCCCGCCCTCACCTGCCTCCTTGTGACAATGGACCAAATCACAGCCGAATGGCGGGGCGACCCTGGCACGCGGCGGGGGCCGGCCCCTGCTGTGACGCCAGGACGAACAGCTGGTAGAAAGGCGCGCGGCCAGCCTCCTCTTCAGACGCATAGTGGCTCGGTTAGACAAACCGGCCTCGAGAGGGGTGGAGGGTCTCAGATACAGCTGTTCAGGAGTTATGCGAGCCCGCGCAAGGACGTTGCGCCTGTCCGGGTGTTCCAAATAAGCGTTCTCAGAGCCGAACGCCAAAGATATGGCTGTTGGAAGCTTTGTGTGCTCAGTGCCCTCGAGTGGCTTATAGGAGCTGATAGACTCTCTCGAATGGACTAGTTTCATGTTACCAGGAAATGAAATAAATTTAACTTTACCTACTAATTTTTCACGAAAAAAATGTTGGTGGCATTCATTTGCTTATTTGAAGCCGATAAATATAAAAAATAAATATAAAACGGGTCTGACAAATCACGGCCCCCTGATTGGTCGCGACGGTCGTTACGTCACAGATGAAGAGCCCGTAAGGAGCAGTGCCGGTTTCTATTACCGTGGCCGGTGGGGCCGGTGGCGGCTGTTTTAAATTGGCGCCTGTGGTGGTTGGGCAGTCTTTTTCAGCAGGAAAATGTCCGGTTTTGCTGAAAATCAGGGCTCTAGTAGACGCTATTATACTTGTTTCGTCCCTGGGTGCACTAACACAACTGTTAGCACACCCGACAAGATTTTTATTGGGCTTCCTCGCTCAGACAAGTTGAGGAAGCTGTGGAGCAATGCTGCTCGTCGAGATGGGCCACTTATATCTGCAAGTGGATCTGCCTGCTGCGAGGACCACTTTACAGTAAGTGCCATTGTTAATATAGGCATGATGTCACCTTCAACCATATTTATTGCAGGCAAATAAGTGACAGGGAGCAGTAAATTGCCCCAAGATACCTAGGGTTTATGCTTGAAGAAAGTGTACAAATTGTCAAAGTTTGAGCACCATTAGTTCTTAGCTTATGTGATTTGGTAAACTCATTTTAACAAATACCTATATTAAATGGTATTGGCAGAGCAGACGTCACACAAAGGTTTTCCAACTAAGGAGAGGCGCTGTACTCGGAGATGCTTCTTTTTAACCAAACCTAATCTAACCAGACCTAACCTCACCTACAACCTAAAACCTACAACCTAAACCTACAACCATAAACCTAAAACCTATCTACAGCACCTCTCCTTGGTTTGAAAACCTTTGTGTGACATCTGCTCTACTAATGCCTATTAAAACACATTAGGTACCTATTTCACCCACCATCAGTGGTCATCTAATCGCGCCTTGAATGGAGTAATGTTCCAATTCCTAATACATGCCACCTTCATTTCAGCTGGAGAAAGATGCAGAAAATTATATGTATCAGAAGCTGATGGGTGGCAAGATCAGGCTTAAGGCAAAAATTGTGCCTCACAAGTTTGATTGTCAGAGACGCAGTGTGCAGAACTCTGTGTCTTGCCTGAATCGCACTGCGCTGAGGAGAAAGAGGATGCTGGCCGAAGTGTTATACAACCACCCAGGTCCAGGTGCCTCAGAATACAATAATGAGAGAGGTAAGTGAACATGTTCTGAAATCCTTATTTCATTGATTTGATTAGCAGTTTCATATGATGACCTTAATTTTGTGCCTATGGCCTGTACATGTCAACATGTGATCCCAATGACAAATATATTGCTGGAACATTCACCTCTCAGTGCTCATCCTTAGTTGGTTTAGTAGTGATATTGGCAGGTGTGATGAACTTAAGTAGCCAGATAAGGCACAACTCAAAGTTGCTGTCCAAATTTGCATTCTCTGTAGTCTGTACCCCCACCCCCACTCACTCACCCAAAAATTGTGTTCCTGCCAATATGGCCTTGGTTCTCCCAATCAAAAATAGGTGACAATGCCACTGTTTTTAGCTTTCACCCCCCCCCCTCCCCAGCAATAAGCATTGTGCTTGGAAGTAAACATGGTGTGGATGAGCGATGGGTAACCTGGCCCTGGGTGTTTCGCCTCAGATTCCTGCACTGAAGGAGGATTGGAGGAGACAGATCATGCTGCCAACTCTTCAGCTACCAGTCAACCTGATGAACGCCCAGGGGGCAGCTCTGCAACTACATTCCTAGGCCTGGAGGAAAATATGCAGCCTGTCTCTGTGGAAATGCCACCAGCTGAAGGCATGCCTGTAAGCATTTATGCCACAGATGTCTGCATGTGTGGGGGGGGGGGGCGGCTTGCCGGGGGGTTGATAATCAATACTGCTGTGAAAAGCAATACCAACATGCATTATTGCTCAAGAGTTCTTTTTTGTTTTTGTATCTTCATGATTGTTGATTTAAGTAACAAAAAGTTTGGCGTTGATCAGTTTGGAAGATTAAGCTAAGCCAAGCCACGTGATTAGTTGTGAATATGGAGCCCTCGCTCCAAGGGTCACCTCACCATGAAATACTCAATGGCTTGTTATTGATCTTTCCTGTACATATGCTACGTTTGCCAGGGGCTGAGTTAGGGGTGACGTAAAAATGACCCCCTCCCTGTCACCTCTACCCACCTCCAGTACGTGGTCTGCACTGGTCACCGCCACTGAATATGGCACGATAGCCTGCTCATGCTTTTTTCTGTTGTTGGTTGCAGGTTCCTACGGTCAAAACGTGCGATCGGGCGGTGCAGACGTGCAGCGTCAACACAGAAGTGGGTGAAGCTGAGCAACACGCTGCCTGCAACCAATCCACGCAAACTTCTACCAGTGAGCTTTTCGAGGAGGTAGCTGCGCGACCTCTGCTCTTCAATGAAAAGCCTGTGTTGCCGAGCGTACAGCGACTGCGTGCCAGTTCATTTATCGATGCCGACAAAAGCTCTGACTATGTGCCCTCTGACTCGGAGGCGGAGTCCTGTGGATCGGCCGACCCAACAGACGAGACGTTTTTCAAAGTAATGGCCCGTAAAGTAATAAGGAACAATATTGAAAAACACCCGGCGCGTTACATTGGAGTACCGGAAGAGCTCTTCGGTATCATTTCGCTTCTGGAAAACAGGATCAGTTTTGCTGACAGGGGCCAATGCCTTACGAAGAGGGATGTCATTTTTATGATACTTTACCGTCTCAGACAGGACACTCCTAGCCATCTACTGGCCGACCAATTTGGAGTTAGTGCTGCGACGGTGTCCCGGCTGTTGGCTCGTTTTGTGCCGGTTATTGCCGTCTATGTGGGTGCTCTGGTAGTCTGGCCGAATCAGCAGACGATCCGAGACCGCCTTCCACACGTGTTTTTGGCGAACTTCTCGTCGTGTGAAAGCATCATCGATTGCTTTGAGATTCAGATTGAAAAACCAGCGCGCTCTGTGTCGCAAAGCTTGTCCTGGTCAGAGTATAAAAAATGTAATAGTGTCAAGTACGTCATTTCTGCGACGCCTGACGGAATGATAAACTTTATATCTAAAGGCAAGCCAGGTCGGGTGTCTGACATGGAGCTTGTGCGTAGTTCAGGCTACCTGGAATGCTTGCGCAGAGGCGTGACCGTGCTTGCTGACCGTGGTTTTAAGGAGCTGGCTACTGAGTTGGCCAGGCGTGGGTGTTCGCTAGTTAGACCTCCTAGTGTGCAAAACGGCAAACAGCTGGATGCAGACGAGGTGGTACGAATGCGGACAATCGCGGGTGTGCGGATCCACATTGAACGCGTCATTGCGCGTGTCCGCGTTTTTAAAATGTTGAGCATGCACGCCTGTACACCACTGACCATGATGGACATGCTCGACGACATGGTCAGAATCGCCTGCGGCCTGGTGAACCTACAGGATCGCATCACAAAGAGTTAAGACGTACGTGATCGCGGATACGCCGTGTTCCGCGCTGTGCATGCGCTGTTATGGATGTCAGCCCGCTGGTCGGCCGCGTCCAGCTCATGTGGGTGGTTCCTCGCGCGCCGGCCTTTACCCTGTCACGCGGATGATCGATCGCTCAACATGTGTGCGACTGTGCAATAAACAAAGTACATGTCATTCAAGCTGTATTCTGCCCAATGTTACAACCCTTATGTACATATGACACTGCGCAACTAATTACACCAACCTTTGTGATGTGTAAGGAATAGTGAAGAACCTACAATGAACTTACCCCGCGTTCGGAGTCTGTCGGACGATGCAGATTCTACGTCGTCCGGCCAATCCCGTTCCATGGTCGCAGCCAAGCTCCCGCCGACCTTGAACGGGATTGGCCGGACGACGTACGTGTAGAATCTTCCGCCGTCCGGGAGACTCCGAACGCGGGGTTAGTCCACTCTACTAAAAACGTTTGAGCAAACAACACTAACGATTGCCGTTCATTAGTGGTCCCCGTCCGTCACCATATCACAGTCTGCTGAGTGCTACTAGGTCAGACGCTGCTATAAGACTTCACAAGTACTGGGAACACAGCTGCCTTCCAGAAGCTATCACAGCGGTTGAGTAGGTCCTCACTGTACTTCTCATCGGTCTCGAGCTCCACAATGCTGACACGACCGCTCCGTTCGAAGTCTGGGTGCGCTACACAGAAAAACGATCGCTTTGCACTAGCCAACGTCATCAACATCTGCAGTTGCGCGCGGAATCTAGCAGCAACTTGACCGTTCGCGAGGATGTACTTGTGAAAGTTTTTCTCGTCAACAGGACACTTAACTTCCACTACGCTACCGTCTGGAGTAAGCCCATCCGGGGACGCGCCGAACATCGGGTAGTTGGGTGACAGAATCAGCCCCGCTCGTCGCAACTCGACACCGAGGTGATTCCCCACTACATCTAGCACCTGTGGCTCCAGAACGCGACCTCGCTCCATTGCGGCGCTGTCCTTCAGCGTTGCAGCGCCGACGATACCAGACACGATAGTGCCATCTAACTTCTGGCAGTGCGCCGCGGCGTAGGCCTTAGAGGCGGTGACGCGACCGAAACGCATAGCGTGCCACAGCCAGGACTGACTTTGGTCACAGGTCTGTTCCGCAACAAGATCGCACAACTCTGAGCACATCCTCTCCTTGCAGAACGCCAAGAACCCCGGCGCAGACAGGGGCTCAGCGGCGTCACTGTGGGCTACATATGCCTGAAGGAGCCGATCTACTCCCACACTTCTCACCTCGTGAACCTGCGACACTGCTCCGTAGTGATTGAAGAATAGGCCGGACGAGTTGGAAGCGGTTCCTAATTGCAGAACTTCCTGGCGGAAGGCCTCCAACGCATCTGCACCTATCATTTTGGTGCTGCTACTGCCTGCCGTGCTACTGCGTTGTTTTGGTCGCAGCACCTCGATAGCGGCACTTTTGATTTCAGCTGGTACCGAGGATAGGCGGGACTTCTTCCAGTACGACTCGGTGCTAGTCACACTCTTTTCGGAACTTTTCATGAACAGCCAACCCAGGACTGCTCCAGCGTGCTTGCAGCCTCCTGCCGCAGCCACACAGTCCTGACATTGCGCGCTACTGATGGTCTCAGACCGCTCATCTATGACTACGATCACCTCGTAAGCCTTAGCGCTGACTTTGGTCTCCGGCGTCACTCTGGCGTGAAGAGTGCAGACGGAGTCTTCACGCTTCAGCTGCACATATCCGACGGCATCGGGACTGTAGTTTTCGCCCTTAGACCTGTAAATACAAAACATATGTATGTACGCCAGTGCTTTTCCAAAACACAAAACAAAAGGGCGGATCCTGGCCCCTGGGTACTCATTAGACACATGTGTTATGTTATTGATATGTGATTTGACCCCCCAAAAGTCATCACAAGCATGCCTTTATATAGAGTAGTTTTGCTGCTCACCCCCCCCTCCTCTCAACATTTTACTTATATTTAAGCCTGTTGCAAATCCTTCCTTATATTCTCATTCTGAAATAACCATGTCTCGATATTTACCTTTCAACTTTGTGGTGCTGACATCCAGGCTGTATATAGCAATTATTGCTGTTGAAGAAGTCCATCATCATCTCCATGCTCACTCTTGGCAGATTTTGTGGAGTCCCCTTTTCAAAGCCTTGCAGAATGACTCCCACCTTCCGAACGAGGGGCGGTCTCTGAAAAGAATGCAAAAAAAAAAAACATTCATTCAAAGATGGCCAGCAGTACAACTCATTTCCCATAAGCGTCACTTATGATGGACATCTTCCATATGGTCATTTGCAGAAGCTTGTCCAAGGACATGTCATGTGTGAATGACCAATCAGTTTAGAGCTGCCTCAGCCATGTCCAACATTAGAAACTCCATCACAAGCTTGAAGGCCACCAGTTGGATGGCGGAACAGAGGGCAGAGTTCAAGTTGGAATTTCACTTTTAAGGTGGTAGTGGACTGTAATGGCGTACAAAAATTGTGTCAATGTAGCACAAAATTTATGTGGCACAGTGCCACCAGCGAAGCATGAAAATTTCAATTATATGGGGAAGTGGAAAATAGGTATATGTAGCATACAACACATACCTACATTTTGATAAAATATTGGGTGGAAAGCAGTTAAAATAGTAAATTTATTTATACTCAACCCAGATGTTAAACATTGATAATGAAGGCAAAAAAGCAAAGCTGATGACTGGAAAATTAGGATAAGAACACCTGCATGCACGGCATGCAGTTACCTTCATCCCACAAGCACACTACTTTCTTTGTTAAATGCAATTTTGGGGTTATAGTTGTGTTATTTTCCAAAGACATGCCAGTCCCAGCCACTGTTTAAACACTACATTGGTGCAAGATGGGCAGCCTTCCGTCACCGTGCCTGTCTACTTTCACCAACGCCACCAGAACGTTATCTTTTTCTTTCTTATTGTTTTCCTCAGTTTTTATTTGTAGTCTTAATTTATAATTTACCTTTAGTTGACGTATCATTGTCTATCTGAGCACACGCAGACACATCATTTCTTTCTAGTGTGAAGTGTGGAGTGAAATTGCCCTGGAAATGTTGTCCAGCAAATGTTTGGTTTCCCAACTCTGATAAGGTTTCTTACAAAATGATACAAAGTACACAATGCGGCAATCTCTTAGCAGACGTCACCCGAGCTGTCATATCTAGTTTGTTAGGTAGGAATGGTAGGTTGTAGGTTGCAGGTTGGTAAGTTGTAGGGTGACTAGGTTGTAGGTATGGTTAGGTCAGGTGAGATAATGTTTTGTTATTTTTTAACTGAAAAGGCATTGCGGCGCACATGAAACGTAGATATGGCAGCTCGGGCGACATCTGCTAAGAGAGTACCCACATTGCAAGATGGATTTAAGTCTTACCGGGAAAGTAATCATAAGATTTAGAAAAAATACTACTAAACTATCACTAAATATTCCACTTTTGAGAATCCAGTATGTGGCTTGCTCCACATCAATACATTGCTGTCAGTGTCGGCCTGCCGTGCCCACATCCAGCATTTCAATACATGCAACTTATCAATCATTTGTATATTCATGTCAACAGTATCCTGCAAGTGGGGAGATGACAGGAAAACTGAGCAGCAAAAGTTGGTAAAAATGCATTTTATTTGGATAAGCCTAAGGCAAAAGCATTAGCTCTACGGCGGCATCTCAATATTGGTCACATTTGATCATTGTAGGTAGGCATTACTTTGCAAAGTGAGTTTGCTGCTAATATCGTGAAAACTACCTACATAGTTATGCAGTGATCAGTTACTCAGGAAGTTCCTACTTTTTAGCTCACGTAACGGCGACAACACAAACTTACATCAGATCAAGATGAAACCAAACGCAGAGTTTGAGCCAACTTTCAGCATTCATTCCACTCGCCGAGGGGTTTACCCCTCCCATCCCCCAAGGAAAAATGATCTTACCTCATCCATAGCGATGTTTAACTGGCCAGAATACTCTAAGCGCACTCAGCTAATCCGCAAAACGTCGCAGCAACTGGGGCAAACTACCGAACTTCACCTTGAAGGGCCGTGACCGCCATTACTACTCTTCATCTGTGACGTCACTAGGCTCCGCCCACCCAAGGCTTTTTTAAATGTGGTTATTATTCAGAAAGTTGAAATTCAATATCTTTAAAACCACAAAGAGTACAGCAAAACCAATTAATCTCCACTTACCAATTATTATTCTTCTAATTTTGCGGTAGAAACGAAAACAACATGAAACTACTCCATTGGCAAGGTAAGCCAGTGAGTGAAAGTAGGGCCCATTCAACCGGTTCGCGCGTAAATAGAAATGCGAGCGCGCAAAGTGGTGTTATAGTACTTCATATTCCTTTTGAGTTTCAACCAAAGACATGCCTCAGCTAAACATGAAATGAATATAAATATAATGTCACCCGGTAAGGGTCTGCATGCAAGAGTGGACAGCCAAGTCGACATTTGCATGCATACTTCAGGATTCAAATGAGCATTGAGCATTTGTGTTCGCAAGCTAGCCAGTCGGGGGAGGTTTGGTCAATCGTTGTCATTTTTAGCACGTGCTATTTTTGTCACACGCGCTAAAAATGACAACGATTCTGCTATTTTTGACAACGATGAGGCCGATTTCACTCCTCAGCGAGGAAATGAAGATTTTGGAAAGATAAACACTGATTTTGGAAAAGAAGTGCTGCCACCTGGTGCAAGACGAAGAATCCAGCTTTAATATGCCTGTTATTTGTATGGTAGTTTGTTTTGTGGCCTGAAGTTGGAACTTAAAATTGAAGCATCCGAAAATGATCGATATTGATCGAAAACATGATGTTGATGAAAAAAATAATATTTTAAGTTGAGAGAGGAGGCCATTTTATCCAGATGCAGTAGTTTACTTCTTGAAATTATTTTTGCTAATGACGGCTGCTAATTATCCCTCATTACATGGCAGTCGTCGTAAGCAAAAATAATTTCAAGAAGTAAACCACCGCATCTGGATAAAATGGCCTCCTCTCTCAACTTAACATATTATTTTTTTCATCAACATCATGATTTCGATCAATATCGATCATTTTCGGATGCTTCAATTTAAAGTTCCAACTTCGGGCCACAAAAAAGGGTATACTTCAACGTTGGACTACCATACAAACAACGGCCATATTAAAGCTGGTTTCTTCTTCTTGCACCAGGTGGCAGCACTTCTTTTCCAAAATCAGTGCTTGTATTTCCAAAATCGTGATTTCCTCGCTGAGGAGTGAAATCGGCTTCATCGTTGCTAAAAATAGCTGATAGCGTTGTCATTTTTAGCACATGGTTGCCAAAAATGGCATGTGCTAAAAATGACAACCATTGACCAAACCTCCCCCAACTGTAGCGTTCCATGCATTACACCATGGCACTTTCCCTTTCCGACTTATCTTGCAGTGCGACTGTCTGTCGCTGAATGTCTCGCTCCGCCGCGCCGGCACTGTGATTGGTTGACCCAACCAGTCACGTGATCTGGCCGACCTGTCAAAGGTCCACCGGTGCGTCAGTCGGTCGCACGGTTCGTATCTTTCCTCTGTGTTTCGCCATACAACAAGACATATAGTTCTGTTTAGTTCGTCATGCCAGACACAGTTCTAACCTGATTGTGAGATTCGCCGAAGCATATCATATGATACATGAACCAAACACCGGCACCAAAACAAATCAGTCTGGCATGACTAAAATGAACCAGCACTCCACCCATCATGCAGCTAGCCCAGCACTAGCACCATCTCCCATCGCCCCTTGCTCTGCCTGCTGGCAGACGGCCGGAGTGGATCGCTTTGATTCCATTCAGTCCAGCCGCTGGGCTGTCGCCCTCCGTCAGCTCCCTCGGCTGTCGCGCCTCTGTCGGGCCGCTGCCGGATATGTCAACACACTCTGGGTCGACCGACGTCGCTCCGAGCCAGGATTAGTATGCTGGCTGGACAGGGCGGGCGGACAGAACGGCAAGACGACTGTCACGGCCATGGGCCGGGGCTGGCCGTGATGGCCCCGACCAGGGGGGTACGCTCCGGCTGTTAAGCATTATGAAAAAATGGTGACAGACGTTTGTGGAGGATTGTCGACGAACTCTTGTTCCGTGAGCAGTACTTACACGCTAGCGGAAAATTCACCAATCAGCGCTCGGCGGTACTCGACGCTGATTGGTCCGACGCTTGTGACGAAATTGCGGGGGACCGCAGTTATTCTCTATGGACCCGAATAGGCTTTTGGATTTCGGAGGGGTTTCTTTAAAATTATATGCTGTTTCGAGCTGTTTTCGAGTTGAAATATATTTCTTATGACTGTTACCTATATAATGGCACCATAAAATCATGATTTTGATAAATATTACCGATGAAATATCGGCCGAAAAGACATGCTGTCATGGTACGGACTGCCCTGCGGCTGATGTGGGGTCCCTAATGCCAGCGTATGGTAATAATGGGGTGACGAAGGTTTATTGGAGACTCTTAGAGCCCCATCAGCATTCAGCATAGGGTCATCAGAGGCCGGGAACGTCCATCAGGGGTCTGAGTAGGCCTGTCATAGGGGCATACATGACACATCATGGCCCATGGGTCAATGTAGATCCATGGGGCCGTTGAAGGGCCAGCATTGTTCAGCGTGGGCTCGCAATTACCTCTGATGGGCATATGCCGTGCCCCGATGGACTAACGCTGGCCCCTGATGAACCATCACCAGCCCCTGATAGGTCTACAAAGCCCACTGCTGGGTCTAAATTGGTCACTGATATGCCCAAATGGGCCACTGAGAAACCCGTACAACATCCCCTGACTGCACCTGCTGGACCAGTGCCGTCCTCTCATGGGCCCACCACAGCTCTTGAATGACCTTTTCAAGTCCCTTGAAGTGCCTTTATTGGCCTAAATGGCCCCTGATTGGCTTATGTGGTCCCTATTGGTCCTATATGGCCCCCATGAGCCCTCAACGTCCCTAGACGGCCTTACATTATATGTCACTGGGCCCTGTTGGGTCAGCACCGGCCCCTGATAGGCTTGCACTGGACCCACCGGGCCTATACCGACCCATGAAGGGCCTATGTCGAGCCCTCATGGGCCTCCGATGACCACACGCCGGCATGTGTGGCCCCATCAGCAGTGGTCCGTCTATCCCATGTACTTACGGTCTTTTTGGTCGATGTGACACCGGTAGTATATAGAAATGTTATGATTAAATGTCGTTATTACACAGTCAAAAGTCACAGAAAGAATATCCAAGCTCAAAAATGGCCTCGAACCCAACAAAAACTGGTACAAATCCCCTTCAAAAGCCGTAAGTCTATTAAACGCCATAGGGGAATAGCTGCAGTCCCCCGCAATTTCGTCACGAGCATCGGGCCAATCAGCGTTGAGTATTGCCGAACGCCGATTGGTCGATTTCCGCTAGCCTGTAAATGCTGCTTGCGGATATAGTTTTGAACAAAAGAGGGTCGCGGCTACTAATTATCGCTTGTCACCACTTTTTCGTCGGGAGCGTTCTACCTGGTTTATATAGCCTTGGCCCCGACTGCTGGGATGGAGCTGGGGGGGGGGGGGGGGGGGGGTGACGGTCAAGGACGAGTGCTGGGATGGGAGTGGGTGGAATTTGGGAAGCAAGTTTGCGGCTACAGCGCGGGTCATGGGCTGGAAACTACAATGCAACCGCTGGCACAATGGCTTTTCCACTTTATTTTGTATATGCTCTAAATGTAAATAGTAATGATAAATTGAAACATTGTAACATAAGCCAAAGTTCGCAGAATTAAAAAATGTATACAACTAAATCGCGAACAAATAATGACAGGATCTCAGATAAACTTCTCTAAACACAAAGTTCTAAAAAATGCAAGGGGATCCATACGAGAGTGAGATCTAATATCGCATTGAATATAATCCTTTCGCTTCACCCTCCAGGTGGGCGTGAAAGCAGGCGGCGGCGAGCTGGCACAAAGACAGCCTCAGTATAACTGCAAGTTTTATTACATCGCTCCGTCACAACTAAGCGCTGTCATGTCTGTGCGCAGCATCACGTACACGGCTGTCATATCGCGCTGTCATATTGGACCTATGCCATGTCACATGTCAGTTCTACACTCCACATATTAATCTCAGAATTTCCAGCAGCATGACTAATTCCCGAAGCACGCTCGACACTGTCATGACTAATGTTCTCCGAGGTGGGCCCGCTGTCATACATGATACCCCTCCGGCCGGTGCTGTGCGGGCCAGCGCTGTATCCACTGTGAGGACACCACCCCACCTCCGGGGGTCCCAGGCCGATTGGACGCGACATCTGTCGCCTCCCGTCACGCCACCGATCCACCGCATACTA